ATAGGTACTGACTTCTTTAATCCTCACAACTGCCCCTCCTCAATATTATAGGTGAAGAAACGAGGCTCAGAGAAGCTCTGTATGCTGTCCAATATCACACCAAGTGGGAGTGATAGTCTTACTTAAAAGAGTCTGTACCGTGTTCTTATTGCCCAGTCTACCAGAGAACACCTTGAAAAAAGAATCAGTCCTAACTGCAATTCAGTTCAACTAGTGCTTACTCTACAGCATGACCCTCAACACTAAGGATTCAGGATCAGAGAAGTACAGCTGCCGCCCTCAAGAAGTTCACAGTCCATTAGGAATCACTGGCAGAGGCACCGTCATCAAGACTTCAATATTTTAACTTATAGTTTAAATCAAATATCATATTAATCCTTGGAAACTCTCACCCACACCACTCATTCTCCCTTCAGGCTCCCTCACTCCCTCTATCTTTGGACTCCTCTCTCTAGCTTTTGTATTATAGAAGGGTCCCATTAATCCTAACTATTAGGATATCTAAATTTAATTTAGTGACAGCTCAGACTCAAGGATCTATCTGATGAATACACGTCACTAGGATATATGAGCAGTGAAGAACAGCTAGGAAAAAAAGCAGTAGCAAATGGCAGCCAAAAGACTATGAAAGTCACACTGTAAAGAGAAGTAAAAGCCATAAAAGAAGGGAAACGGACAAACACAAGGTAGAAAGTAGGAATCCAGGAGAAATTCAGTGGAGAAACAGATAAATAACAACATTAAAATCTAATCCACTTTAGGAATTCTAACTCCTGGGGCGCCTGGGTGGCTTAGTCGGTTAAGCTTCCGTCTTTCGCTTTGGTCATGATCTCTCGGTTCGTGGGTTCGAGCCCCGCGTCGGGCTCTGTGCTGACTGCCAGCTCAGAGCCTGGAGCCTGTTTCAGTCTGTGTCTCCCTCTCTCTCTCTGGCCCTCCCCTGCTCACGCTGTCTCTCTCTCTCTCCTAGAAATAAATAAAAAACATTTAAAAAAAAAAAAAGAATTCTAACTCCTTCAACTCTTTCTCTTCCTAGCCTCTAAAGGAAATTTTGTAAAAAATGTATGTATATGAAGCAATGGCTGAAAAACTACTAGGAACAGTATATAAGTTAGGAGAGTTGTTTTTTTTTTTTTTTTTAAATGAGAAACCATTTGTTTTAGAATTTCAGAGAAGCAAAGAAAACTTATAATACTATCTAATCCAACCCACTCATTTTACAGTTAAAATAAGGCTCAGAAAGGTGATTTTAATTTGTCCAAGACCATATAGCTACTTAGTAGCAACACCCTTGAATCTCATTCCAATGTCTGCTCCTCCAGACAGGGCTTCCTAGCAATGTATTTTACTTCTCCATTCTCCACTCTTAATAACTGAGTTTCTGCATAAGCATCTCAGAATCCACATTTTGTTCCTAATTCCCATAGAATAAAATAATCAAATATTCCAGATTATGTGAAGCAATATGGAATTTAGTTCTTTTATTCCCAAAGTCAGTAATCTCTAACTGGGTCCTGGTTCCTACCAGGAGGAAATTCAAACATTTCCCAGAAGAGCAGAAAGAAAAAAAGATCTCTGTAAGTTGACCAACTTCTTTTCTGTTTCTATTTTATACCCTCCTAACTAACCTGAGGCTCCTATCTTTCTGACAAATATCAATTCCAGGAGCCTGTAAAGAAAAATAATGAAGAGAGTATCATGTCACTTTCAGCAAAAGTAACTTTTAGACAGGAACTATCTTGGCCAGGAAATAAGGCAGAAGGGAGAAGAGAAGAATTTCAAGGGGCGCCTGGGTGGCTTAGTCGGTTAAGCGTCCGACTTTCCCTTAGGTCATGATCTCGCAGTTCGTGGGTTCGAGCCCCGCGTCAGGCTCTGTGCTGACAGCCAGCTCAGAGCCTGGAGCCGGTTTCAGAGTCTGTGACTCCCTCTCTCTCTGACCCTTCCCTGCTCATGCTGTCTCTCTCTCTCTCTCTCTCCTAGAAATAAATTAAAAAAAAAAAATTAAAAGTAAAAAAAAAAAAGAGAAGAATTTCAAGTAACCCATATACTAGTACTTTTAGCCTTAAAACCATCAAGCAGTCCTGAAAGCGTGTAATATACACCTAATATTTCCTTAACTGCAAAGCACTTGCAGATATGGGCTGGAAGGAACCCATGCTGGGCCACTTCAGTGGTCTAAGAAAGTCTGCTGCTTACACCCTAAACCTCCCCGCCCCCCACGATAAACTGTGCGCCCTGCCAGCCACCGTTCTCCAGGTTATTTGAGCTGAGTGATTTTGAAGTCTTAACATCATCTTAGTTCAAATACAGTGATTACCTAGGCCTTCAAAATAACATCTCTGCCTACAGAGGGCTGACTGAAGCCTTCCCTGGAAGAGACGAAAATGCCTTAGTTTGCTTTAGGAACATAGCTTAATTTTGGTATGTATGAAGTTCGTCATAGATTAGGGATACTCTCGTACTTTAACATGTTAACTAAATTAGGACATTGTACTAGAAATGAACAGGACAAGAAAATAAAGACATTAAAAAGTCAGAAACGAAGTGTTTTATTGACTCACTGAGCTTAGTTAGGAAGTAAAGGAAGAGTGAAAAATGACCAACGAGAATCATGGAGCTAACAGGTAAGGAGGAAAACGGGAAAGAGATTTCTGCCCGGGGATGGGGAGTATGGGTGCTGGTGTGCCGCTGCTACAGAGATGGTATTGAAACAGATTTAGATTCAAGACCTAAAGGGCCTCAAGTTTGGAAGGCTTCAAGTTTAAACAGAAGATCTAGATTTGTGGCCTAAGAGCACAGCAATAATCAAGTTTTTAGAGAAAGAGAAGGTTATAGAAAAGAACTTTTAAAACAACGGCAGTCCTCAGATAATACACTTTGAAGATAACCTAACCTTCCAGATGAATACTTCATTATGTAGACACAGAATATTTGGGTTGCTTTGTTCTAAATGAAAAGCTAAAACATTATTTTTTTTCCTCAGGCTATGAATTGACAGAGAGGAGCTAAGGATTAAAACAAGTTTCATAATTACTATTTGTCCAAAGCCAAGTCTCTGATCTAAAACACACTGCTTCTGAAGTTTCTGTGCTTATAACAAAACTTTTGGAAAACAAGGAGAGAAAAATCTGATGCACAATAGTACTACCATTTTATAATATTTGTGAGAACTTAATAATCTTGAAAACACCTTGGGAGCACGTGGGTGGCTCAGTTAAGCATCCGACTCTTAATCTTGGCTCAGGTCATTCATTATCTCATGGTTCATGAGATCGAGCCCCACACTGGGCTCTGCACTGACCGCATGAAACCTGCTTGGGATGGATTCTTCCCGCGCCGCAGCCCCACGTGTGCACTCTCTCTCTCTAAATATATAAACTTAAAAAAAAAAAAAAAAGCACACTAAACAAAATGTTGATAGTTAATACATCTGGAGAATAGGTATATAGAGGTTCATAATACCATTCTCCCCAGTTCCGTATAGTTTAAAACTTCCATTATTAAAAAAAAGCCTACCTACACATATTTTTAATCTGTATTAAGATAAAAAATATTATTATTATTATTTCTATTATTTCTATCTGTAGTTAAGGTTTGACAACTAAAAAGAACAAAAAACAAAAACAACTTGGAACCAAAATTCTTACAGATAAACATTTCAAATAATGTTTTATTCATTCGTAATAGACCAATGAAATTGAGTGTGTATGAAAGGGAGAAAAAATCCTGTGTCATTTTAGAGAAACATGAGTATGTTCATTAAATGCAAAGTCCTTTTATCCATGTTAGTTGATACTGAACTTTTGTTATTTTTCTCTTCAATGAACTTACAAGTCTTGTTGAAGAAAATATACAGTCCATATAAATGTATGGTTTCGGTTAGCAAAGGCAAAATTAGCATTTTTCCCCAGTACCAATGACTGCTTTGTTGAACCTGCTGGTTAGTGGTCATATTATTTCAAATATCTTCCACTCTACTAGGTAAGCAAATAAACAACTTTCTTATATAGATGCAAAAAAAAAATTAAAAGAACCAAGACCCATAAATTATACCTAACCCTAACCTATAAAAAAACACACACACACACACTTAAAATTATATAAACTAATATGTTTATATAATATAGTAAATCATATTATAAATAAATAGATGTACTTTAAATCAAATCACTCTATTGAGACTCTGACAGCACTGGAACTAATAGCAACAAATTTGCTACTTAGATTTGCCACTTACTGATAACCAAGAATAGTTCATACCATTTATAAGCACCTAGCTTTCTATAAGCACCTGTCTTTCCTCTGTATGATAAACAGCACCACCCAAAAAAGACAACCAGATTTGTTTGCCTCATGTTCATCTGGTAAGTTCCAAGACAATAAAAAGTATACATGTCTGTGCAAAACCCGCACACTGTAGGTGTGCAACTCTTTTTTTTTTTTTTTTTTGCCCCTGAGAGAGAGTGAGACAGCGTGAGCAGGGAGATGCCTGGATCCGAAACGTTTCAGGCTCTAGGCTCTGAGCTGTCAGCACAGAGTCTGACACGGGGCTCAAACCCACAAACCGTGAGAGCATGACCTGAGCCGAAGTCAGACGCTTAACTGACTGAGCCACCCAGGCGCCCCTATGTGCAACTCTTTTAACAGGAATAATCACACCTTCGCTCCCCAGAAAGCTATTGCTAGCTATCAGTCCCATTCTCTAGGTGACATGTGTAGCGTAACAAAATAAGGCAGGCTTTCCCTGCGGATACTTCTGCTTTGAATCATTTTCAGAATCTCGTTTCTTCTAACAGAAATTTGTCACCAAGAAATTTCAGAGAGAAGCAGTATAAACACATATATGGAAAGACAAGAGACCGCCAGTGATTCTATTCTTCTCCATCATCGTTAAAGCACTCAAGTCTGCCTCAAGGTATTTCATTTTGCGGATAACAAGATCATTCTCCTCTTCAACGAATTTTTGAAGCTTTTTTTTCCTCATTAAAGTAAAAGTTACATACCGTAAAATTTCCAGATCTTAAGCAGTCAGCTCAGTACGTTTGAACAAGCGTGTACACCAGCAACTGGTGAATCTGGACGTTCCTTGGGCTAGGTCTTGCAACTTTTCTGTAAGTTAAAAAGTATATGAAAATAAAAAGTTACCCAAAAAGTGTACACTTGAATTTCCAAATACCTAAGTCAAGATACAGAATATTTCTATCTCCCTAGAAAATTCCTTTTTGCCTCTTTCCAGTCAACCACAACCCTTACCCAGAAACCACTGTTCTGATTTCTATCACCATACCTACAGTTTTGCCTATTCTTGTATTTTTCAAAAATGGCATCAGTTGGTACATACTTATGCCTAGCTTCTCTTGCTCTGAATAATATTTCTGAGCTTCATTTACATTGTATGAATCAATAGTTTATTCCTATTGTGAAAAAAGCTGCTATGAACATTTTACATTAGTCTTTTTGCAAATATGTACTTTATTTCTCCTTGGTGAAGTAATGTTTCATTTAAAAAGGAGTGGGTACTTCACCTATAAATAAGCTTGTAAAGTCATACAGTACAGATAGACTGAATACTTATTACACATTATATACAGCAAATATATATACAGATGTATAGAACACAAAATATAAAATGTAGATATTTTACCTGTGTGTGTATGTGTGTAAATGAATAGATTCTGAGAAGTCCAACTGGGACCAACAAAGATACATTTTTTTTAAATGTATAAAGCTCAAAGTGAAAACACATCTAATGTGGGAAAGCTGTCCATTTCAGTTTTTCTTAGTAAGTATTATGTTTTAACCTAAGAATAATTCAAAGGAGAAACAGATTTCTCTCTGTATGAGTTACTCTGTCATGTTTCAATGAAATACTTTCTTCTCATAACAAATCTCCCTAAACTAGACCTTCAAAACATTAAATGTTACCTCCACTATAATTTTTCATGTGAGGAGTAAAACCCAAAATGTGTGTTAAAAGTACAAATTTTATTTTATCGTCTTGCTTTTTTTAAAAAAAAGAAGTTAAACAGGGAAGTAATATTGGCTAGTACTTAACATGGGTAAAGACCATCCCATCTTCATCGAGAATATATTCTGAAAAGGGCTCAATCTCTAGGACGTTTTCTCCACCCCAAGAAGCAATGTACTGCAGCATCAAGTCTATGAAAGATACATCTTGACTTTGAAATTCTACTGTGCAATTTTCAGCTGAAAGTAGAGGTTCTTTAATTTCCAATGATAGTAACATTAGAAATACACATAAATCTGATTGTTGAAGATAGCAATTTGAAATTCCCAACCCTGCTCTTGATAATCAGACTATCATTTCCAGGGGACTAAATAAAACTGGCTCCTCGTTTAACATCACCCATAAACTGCCAAGATGGAGGCAGAATGCTACAAATGGTTCTAGAAATTTACCACTACCTGTTTTTCGGAAGGGTTTGCAACTATAAATGGGAGAAAACAACCCTCTTGTAATGTTTGATCTTGTACATCTTTCATTCCTCCTCCCCCAAAATGAGCAATTTTAAAAACATATCATTCTAATGTACTACATTTTTAACCTTAAAAAATATTCTTAGCATTTGGATGTTTCCTGACTTTCACAGATATGTGATTATTTACTTAACCCATTATTCACTCTGAAAATACATCACTTTCCAATAATTGTACCATTTTCTAAAAGAACAAGGAAAACAGCCTCGATCAATCGTTACAAAAACTAACAGCAGCTCTAAACCACCATAACCCCCAACTTTCATTATCTTTTTCCTGACTGTTTTAGATAATTACAATTTTATTCTTATTTTTAAAGTATCTTTCTTCCAGACCAAGAGCAGAAAACAGGTAGAGCCAATTATATAGACCCCATACTCCCTCTGGTGGTCCTTCCCTCTCATTAACTAGATGTGTTCCAAAAGCCGAGAAGTAAATACTAATAAATAAAGCATAAAATGATCTTGCCCCATTTAAGGATTATAGTCTTACATGTTTAAGTTTCAGCTGAGTACAGGGCAATTCTCTTCATAACAAACTGTGAGGTACAAATTATTTTGAGAACTAGAGTTTTGGTGTTTCAAATATTGCTAAATATCCTCAGCAACCTGTTAAATAAATTAGTTATAAGGGTGCGTAAGGCCCTACAATAATTTTAAGCTCTCTTTTGACAGAAGAGTCATCTAACGGAATCTTATTCGCAAATTAAATCACACTTAAGTGGCTATTGTTTTAAAATCAATGATTATTTACATACCAACAACCACTCTGTCTCCTCTGTGTGTAGATTTAATTTTCTTTACACTTTGGAGATACAGTATCAGAAGTAAAAAAAAAAAAGCACTATAGAGCCTTTCTCACTCCCTCCTTGGCCATCCTGGCGTGCCTGCTCTAGGTTGGGGACTGTCCCACACCTAAAGCAGGAAGATGGTGGCCGCACAGAAAAAGAAGTCACTGGGGTGCCTGGATGGCTCAGTTGGTTAAGCGCCCCACTTCGGCTCAGGTCATGATCTCATGGTTTGTGGGTTCCAGCCCTGCGTCGGGCTCTGTGCTGACAGCCAGCTCAGAGCCTGGAGCCTGCTTCAGATTCTGTATCTCCCTCTCTCTCCGACCCTCCCCTGCTCACGCTGTCTCTCTCTCTGTCTCTCAGAAATAAATTAAAAAACATCAAAAAAGAAATTAAAAAAAAAAAAAAGAAGAAGAAGTCACTGGAGTTGATTACCTTTAGGCTCCAGCTTGATCCGATAAGGGGACAGTACATGATGGGGTACAAGCAGATAAAATGATCAAAGATGGTCAAATGAAACTGGTCATCCTAGCCAACAACTGCCCAGCCTTGAGGAAAGGAGCACTACGCTATCTTGGCAAAAACTGGTGCCCAACACTACAGTGGCAACAATACTGAACTGGGCCCAGCATATGAAAAATACTACAGAATATGCACACTGGTTATCACTGATCTGGGTGATTCTGGTAACACTAGGAGCATGCCGGAAAACACTGGTAAAAAGTAAATCATGCAAAAATTGTCTTTAATAAAACTGGCCAGAGGTAGGGGAAAAAAGGCACTGTAGAAAATTCAGAAATGTACAATAATGAAAAAACAAAATCTAATTATTAATCAGCTATGTGAGAAAGTTCAGGGGCACCTGGGTGGCTCAGTCAGTCACGAGCTAAATGTGGAGCCTGCATATTCTCTCTCTCTGCCCCTCTCCCCTGCTCACACGAGCTCTCTCTCAAAAATGAACAAACAAATAAATAAACACACACACACACACACTTCTGTTAAAAAACAAAAAGTTCAAACAGTTTCAGGGTGCCTGACTGGCTCTGTCGGTGGAGCATGCTACTCTTAATCTCCGGGTTGTGGGTTCAAGCCCCACACTGAGAGGACAAATGACTTTTAAAAAAATAAAATCTTTTTTAAAAAGTTCAAATTGTTTCAGAATTATAAAATGTCTGTATTTAACTGTATTAATTACAGAATTTAGTGTGCAAAACATGGACAATACAGATTTTTCTTCATGAACTGTGAAAAATTATATTAAAGGCCTGTTTAGAGATATTCTTAATGCTAGGTATAACATGCATATTGCAGTCAAATAAAGCCATATTCCTGTCTAACACTGTCACTTGATTTATCCTCAAATTAGCTATTTTAGTATATGTCCTTGTTTTTTTGTGGCTTTATTCATTCAAAAATATTTGCCAACCCCAAAACACAAAAGGAACCACACCTGAGGATAAATGCCTTAAACACACTCAATATGTTTATGGTGTAGATGTAAGAATTCAACTTATGCTTAATTTTGAAACTGAAATGTGGTTGATAATTTTGATATGGTCTACCACAAGTTAAAGTGGACCAAAAAAAAAAAAAAAAACCAGTAAAGTACCTAAAAACTGAACTTGAAAATGGGCTTTTAATTAAAAGACATTTTTATAAAGTTGCTAAAATATGCTTGTGTAAAAAAAAACATGAAATAAAAGTTTTATTTATTATATGTGGTATATTTAAACAGCACCATAGAATAAGGATTATAATAATTACACATAGTAAATTACACATAGTAGTTAAAACTAATATATTCCTATACACTTTAAAGAATAATTATTCAAGTCATCCAAAACAATGAGAACCCCAGACTTTTAAGACTCCTTACAACTACTTACGTAGAATAAAATCCACTCTAACAGGGACGAGTCACTGTTGAACAAATCTACCCTAAGTATTAAAAAGACAGCTCAGCTTTCATAGCAATAACTTTTTCTACAGAAAGAAGATGCTCTTTCTTCTCTAGACTGATTCGTTCTAAGCTAAGAAACCTTTAGGAAACTAAATAACCCAAACTATGGGTTCTTTTCCAGCCCAAGAACAAACAGAAAATTGAAGATTTAATTAGTTGCCTAATCCAGTGTTTTAAGGTTTTCATGTTGAACTGGATAAAATTATGTGTTTTTTTTTTCTTTAAAAAATCACCCCAAATTAAAAACATGTATATTTGTTTTGTTAAACGTTGGAGGGACGAAGACCTTGTAACATTTAACTCTATTGTTTGAGAAATATAAGACACTTCATAAAGACCATCTTTGATTTTGTTTTAAAATCCCAGTCACAACTAGCGTATTGGTTAAAGAGTTCAACTTTAAGGGGTGTTACTAAACAGCTAGGTGAATAATAACCATTCAATGAAATACTAACAAAGTAGCATAATTAAATCAAAACTGTAATATTGCTTTTAAAAAGTTAACACTCCTCTAGATATAAAACACACATTAGAAAAGAATTAAGTCAGCTAAGTCAAATTACTCACAAATAATTTAAATAGGTATAAGCTACGTTTAAAAAATAATCATATCCTATTTTTAAATGTATTTTTTTTCTGTAGATGCCCAACATTGGTCAGGTCCACAATCGTGGATTAAGTGGAGGTCAGTAGGGAGAGAGACGCAGAAAATGGTAAGTGAAGTACGACAAATAACATTTTCCCAAAAAGAAGAAAAAATTCTTCAAGTCTTTTCTTCAACTTTGATTCAAACACCAAGAGAAAAAGCTAGTACAATTTTCTAAAGTAAAAACCCCTTTGGGGGTGGGGGTGGGGATGCAGAATTCCATAGGCCATTCAGAAGCTTAACCAAAATATGCCTTAAATTTTCCCCTGTCCACAATCTAACAAAACGGGAAGACAATGAAAATAAACACTCCTGTCTACTCCCATCTTTCCAAAGAAAGCTTCCATTCAATGCTAAGCCGTATTCCACTGGAAAACATACTCCAGAAAAGTAAATCCAAAACCACGAGCTCAAACTACTTCATGCAGAATTTACTGAATGGCGGCCAAACGTTGTACACGCTGTTCTGAACCACACTGAAGGATATCAGAGTTCTGCATTCTCCATTTACTAACTTTGTACCTTCCTTCCTATGCTTTCGCCGCCACTGCAGAAACCGATTTTTTTTTTTTTTTAAATAAGGCCATTTCCCTCCAGGCACGTCAATGGAAAGAATGCAATCAATGCACGCTGACCCCTTCAAACTGTTTCTTTCTTTCTTTTCTTAATTAATACTGGGTTGGACCCCTATACTATGGCCAGCACACCTTTTTAGACATCGGCGGAAGGAGTGCTAACGTTCCAGGAGCGAAGCGACTAAGGAGCCCTAAATCAAGTTGCAACCTGGCACGAGAATCATCACCTGTTAGACCGGCGCGGCGCGGGCACCCTCCCGGGATGCTGCATCCCGGTCGCTGGTCCCACGGCGGCAGGTGAAGGGCGGCGAACCCGCCTCCACACCCACCGCCCCGGGAGCGCAAACCGAAAGCGAGGAGGGCAGCAGCCGGACGCTCCGTTATCCTCGCCCGCCGCGGGCCCCGCCAGGTGTGCGCCGCTGCATCGCGCCCGCGGCGTCCCGGCGCGCGGCGCACACCCCGGCTCGACTTCGCCCGCCGCCCCGGGCCCCGGAAGGAGAAGTTTCTCTCCCGCCCGCGGTGGCGGCCGTTCACGCGCCGCCCGGCTCTCCGCGGGTCCCGCAGCCTGCTCCGGGCGGTCGCGGTCACAGGCGCCGGGCCTCGGGCGAGTCGGGAGCGGCCGACCGGGGCCGGGACCTGTCACCTCGGGAGGGAAACAAAAGCCGGGTGAGGACGGGCGGGAGCGACTGTCCTCGGCTCCGCGAGGGGGAGCGCGGCGGGGAGCGGCTCTCGCGGCCGCCCGACTCCGCGCCTCCCGGAGGGAGCACCGACCTCCCGCGGGCCGGCGGGGCGCGGAGGGGCCCCGCAGTTGGACAAGGGGCAGCCGACGTGCCCGCCTCGGGGCTTCCCCGGCCCCGTTCGCCCCGAGCCTGCCTCTCCCGGGCAGGAGAGCCGCGCGTGAGGGGGCGCCGAAGCGGCGCGGCGGCGCCCTGACCGCGAAAGAGGGAATTCGGTTCCCGGGGCGCCGCGGCCGCCCGCCCCATCCCTGCGGCCATGGCGCCGGTACCTGTCGCCGTGGCTGCTCCTTGGCCCCTTCTCTCTCTGCCTCACCCTCGCGCCGCTCGGCCCCCAGCCCACCCAGCAGCCCGTCCGCGCGCCGGACGCCGCCGCCCGAGACTGGCAGCGCCCGCGAACCGGCCCGAATCCCCGGGGCAGCGCCCGGCGCGGTCCCGCCCCCGCCGGCCGCAGGACCCGTCTTCCATAGGGCGCCGGGGCTGTCAGTCCGCCCCCAAAAGGCGCGCGGGCTGTCGCTCCGCCTGTCCGGATTGGTGGCCGCGCACCGTCTATGCAAATGAGACCCCGCCCCCGTCCATTTGCACCTCCGCCTTAGTGTAAACTCCGCCTCTCCACGCCAGCCCACGTGTCTGGCCCTTGGCCTTTGTGGGGGCCGGCGGGAAGGGATGAAGGAAACTGACCGGTGCCCCCCTCACACCGTCTCTTACCTCCGGAGAAACTAATGCCCAAACGAGCTATTGACTTCCCATCTGAATCGTATCTCTGAAAGCCCTGCCCTCCTGCCTGTTCGCCCGGCCTGCCCAGAGGATGGAGAAGGGCAGGCCAGGATGTTTGTGTCAGGTAAGCCGACTAGGTTAGCCTTAGGAAGTCCAAAAGATGCCCTGTTGGGCCTGGGGAAAATCCCGTCTTGAGAACTAGTTTAGCCGTAGTACTTCCCCATGGACACTAAAGGACTGTGAAGACTATGCTCTCCTGTGGTTTTCTGCCTTGCAAGCATAAGACACCAGGCCCATTGAGACAGCAAAGGCCTTAAAAAACGTTGGTGTTCTCTGATCCCCTTTTCCCACTCCACCCCAGTCCCTACCAGCAAAGGGTAGACCTGCTGAGCAAACAGCTTCAAGAGGGACCAAAGCGCCTCCAACGGCAAGGGGGGCTGCCTGAGTAGCTCCCAATAGAGACTCAGATGTGGGAACTTGGCTGGCTGCACCTGGGCTTTAGGGGATAACCAACTCAATACCCTCATTTTTGAGGAAACAAAAACCTAAAGTCTCATAGCAATGGGACTTACTAGTCACCTATGGAAATCTTAGGTCTCCTGGCCAGATCAGAAGCCACATCTCTTAGCTCCAAATCTGCTCTCTGCACTATGTCAGGCTGGTCATTTAGGCATTTATGAAGAGCCTCTTCAACAAATCACTGACGCTGCATTCAGGACGTGGTGCTCAGAGAAAAAACCAGCTAGACCCAACCCCAAAACCTCAAGAGCAAAGAAAAACCCTGACTTAATGCCTAGAAGCATCCCTTTTCACCAGATGCCAGGGAGAGTCACTGAAACAATTTATTCACGCGTTAATTCAACAAGACATTGGTGATTGAATCCAAACCCAACCATTTGTCCTTCAATGATTTGTTCTGAAAGTTTCTAACCCTAATTGATTAAGCATCTACTGTGCTTACTACTAGCAAGTATTAAGCACTGTGCTGTGTGCCAAGTATGCATAGGTGAGAAGACATTGTCCCAGCCCTTGAAGGCTTTAGCCAAGGAGATAGTGACTTCCACGTTCCAAGTCGGTACCACTTATGTTACAGTGGGCAGCTCCAAGGAAGGACCAGTGGGCTTTTCCCGGGAAAGGCAGGGAAGGCTTCATTGAAGAGGTGGCATTAGAGCTGAGTCCTAAAAGAGTTTTGAAAGATGGTGTTTGCCAGATGGAGGGATGTGGAAGAGGAAGGAACAGATTCCTGGCCTGCGGAGGACAGCCTGAGCAAAAAAAGCACGCAGACCTGGAAAAGCCTGGTAACTGAGGGAACAGCGAGGCGCAGCACAGGCAGATCTGCAGGGCTGTGTGGCCATGTCACATGCTCGGGGGCTAGGCTCTTCCAGGAGGAAGACAGAAAAGGCCCCGGAGGCTGCCAGGCTGTGTTGTAACACACCGCAGCAAACAACAACAGGCCCTGTAGATACAGCTGCAGGCTTTTTTTTTCTAGGCCAGAGTCTGTGGGGAACAGTCAGTTCTACAGTTCTGATGGCAGCCGGGCTGGCCCCACCCACTCTCTCAGAAAACCACTCCGGTCACTGCACTTGCCCTCCTTGGCATTTGGAAACACGTGTGCTTGCAATTTCCCCAAACACTGCTGCCCTTCAGAGCTCAAAGATAACGTGGGCCATGACTGCAGACACCTGGGCGTGGGACCCAGAGTCCTTTCCTGGTGCACAGAGCCATTCTTTGCAGGGCCTGTTACCAAGGCTGGCTTCACAGACGTGTGACCTGCGCTTGGTTGAATGCTCTGCTGTCACCGTCTTGAAATTCTTGATAATTTTTCAACAGTGCATTTCCATTTCATTTCATTTCACCTGCAAATTATGTAGCCAGTCCGACCTGTCACTGTTAGTGCCCCCCGGGAATGCTTGTGATCCTGCTCAAACCGTATCTCCTTTTTAAAGCACTTGGCATTCACCAGGTTTGTTCACATGCACTGTATCACTGGATTCTCACAATGGCACTGCAGGGCAGTCTTGTATTCCTAGTTCCCATTTATTAGCTGAGAAAAACTGAAGTTTGGCAATCTTCTCCAGGTAGCACAGCAGGGAGTGGCAAACTTTGTATTTGAACTCAGCCCACACAAGCCCCCATTCCATCTGGTATCAGTCCACCTTTATGTTGGTTTCAGAATCCTTTCAAAGGTGGATTTGTACAGGAAGGATTTGTACAGGTGGTTTTGTTTTTGTTTTAAGTAAGCTCTACACCCAACATGGGGCTTGAACTCACGACCCTGGGATCAAGAGTTGCATGTTCTACCCACTGAGCCATCCAGATGCCCTTATAGTATACTGTCTTAAGAGTCAAACCACATGGTGGAGTGAATGTATGTCATTTCATGGCTGCATATCATATTTGAATAATTTTTCATTAATTTTGAAAAAGTTTCAGCCATTGTATGTTCACATGCCATTTCTGTACCTCTTTTGTTTTGGGCCCCCAGTCGAAATACCTGTTAGACCTTCTCACTACATCCCTTCCGTATCTTCTATCTTTCGTCCTTCAACGCTTTGTTCTAAAAGTTTCTTGTGACTGTTCTTCAGTTCACTAATTCTCTCTTCAGCTTTTTAAAAACTTTTCCTCTTGGGGTGCCTAACATGCAACTCTCGATCGATCTCAGGGTCATGAGATCAAGTCACTTAGTGTCCATGGGTATGAAACCCCTTTAAAAAATTAATAATTCTCCTCTTAAATTCACCCATCAAGCTCTTCATTTGTTGTTTGCTTGTTTGTTTGGGGTTTTTCTCAGTTCCAGAATTTCTCTTTGGGCTTTTCAGATCTGCTATGTCACTTACATCTCTGTGTGACTTGCTATGATTTTCAAGCTTGGCTTTTCTCTTCTTAAAGCAAGTGTAGCTGTTTTATGGCTTGAGTATGTTAATTTCGATCTAGTGTCCCTGTGGTTCGGCTTCTGTTGTCAGTTTTTACTACTGGTCCTTCCTCATGAGGTTTTGTCTCACCATGTACCCGGTTATGTTTTGGAGACTGTATTTGAAAAATCATTTAAGGCAACAGTGATAATACCTTCCTCCCAAAAGGATTTCCATTGGTTTCTGCAGGCATTTGGGGACACTGGCAAACTAGGATCACCTTAACTCAATTTCATGGCTTCTAATTTTCTGAGCTTCCCAGATGACTTGAAGCTGACCACAGTATGTAGGAGGGTTTATTTATGGTTTGTTTGTTTGTTTGTTTATGGTTCCTCCTCCTTACCCAATGTTGCAGTTCATTGAGGTGGGACAAAGACTGGGAGTTGTTTTAGTTATATATGGTTTCATAGCAAACTATCCTAAAATTTAGCAGTTTAAAACAGATGCTAATGGACTTTTTCTTAAAGGGCCAGATGGCAAATATTTTAGATTTGCAGGCCATATGTTCTCTGTTACAGCTACTGAGCTCTGTCATTACAGTTCAAATCAGCCATAGACAATGCATGAGTGAATGGGAACTTTATTTACAAATCCGGGCAGCCATTCTCAAACTGACAAAGAACATCACCAAAAAACTTATGACTAATACCATGCTTAATGGTAAAAGCCTTGATACTTTCTCCAAGAAAAAGACAAGGAACAAGATGTCCACTCTTGCCGCTTCTTAATATTTTATTGGAGGTTCTAGCCAGCGCGATTAGGCAAGAAATGGAAATTAAAAGCCATCCAGGTTGGAAAGAAAGAAGTAAAACTATACCTACTGACAGATGACATGATCTTTGTGAATAGAAAATGCTAAGGAATCCACCTAAAAACTGTTAGAACCAATCAGTGAATTCAGGGGCACCTGGCTGGCTCAATCAGTAGAGCGTGTGACTCTTGATCTTAGGGTTGTGAATTCAAGTCCCACGTTGGATGTAGAACTTAATAATAATAAGTGAATGCAGCAAGTTTGCAGGGAACAAGATCTATAATAAAAATCAATGCTATTGGGGCGCCTGGGTGGCTTAGTCAGTTAAGCGTCCGGCTTTCGCTTAGGTCATGATCTCGCGGTTCGTGGGTTCGAGCCCCTCGTCAGGCTCTGTGCTGACTGCCAGCTCGGAGCCTGGAGCCTTTTTCAGAGTCTGTGTCTCCCTCTCTCTCTGACCCTCCCCTGCTCACGCTGTCTCTCTCTCTCTCTCTCTCCTAGAAATAAAATAAAAATATTAAAAAAAATCAATGCTATTACTTTACACCTTCAATGAACAATACAAAAATGAAATTAAGAAAAAAATTTCGTTTTTAATAGCCTAAAAAAGAACAAAATACTGGGATGCCTACATGGGTCAGTGGAGTGTGCAATTCTTGATCTTGGGGTTGTGAGTTCGAGCCCCATGTTGGGTATAGAGATTACTTAAAAATAAAATTTCAAAAAATAATAATAATAAAATACTTAGGAATAAATTTAACAAAAGACGTGCCAAACTTATACTCTGAAAACATTGTTGAAAGAAATTAAAGAAGACCTATATATAATCAGAAAAATATCCTATGTTATGCATCAAAAGACTTTACATTGTTAAGATGGCAATACTCCCCAAAGTTTCTGCAAATTCAATACAATCCCATCAGAGTCCCAGTTGACTGCTTTATAGAAATCAACAAGGTGATTCAAAAATTCATATAGAATTGTAAGGGA